TGCAAGCATGCATGCACAGCGCTCAGCTTGCTTTCTCTGTTTGAATTTATTTTCTTAATGTGTACACCTGTGCATCTCTGTATGTATCACGTGTGCCGCATGTGTGGGGTGTCTTTGGAAGCCAGAAGAAGGCCTCAGGTCCCCTGGAGCTAGAGTGACAGGCAGTTATGGGCCGGCACACATGAGTGCCGGCAACAGAACTTGAGATCTTTTTAAGAACAGTGAGCACTCTTTTCTGATGAGGCAGCTGTTCAGTTTCTTCTCCTGTTTTATACAGTCCAGGATCTAAGCACAGGGAATGGTGCTGCCGCAACGGGCTAGGTCCTTCCACACCAATCCTGCCATCAGGCCAAACTGGCCTGGACAATCCCTCACTGAGATTCATACATGTGTGTAATGAGTCTTCTTCACCCCTGCCTCATTAACCCCTCTCAACCCTCCCCCTTCCTCCCTTAAAACGCTTTTCTTCCCAATACATCTCCCTTTTACCCTCACGTCTTTTTTAAAATGCGTGACCCGCTGAGTTTAATTAGGGTCGTTTGCATGATGGTAGGCGGGAGGTTATTCACTGAAGACGATCCCACCCTTTTCCTCAGCCCCCTTTGACTGACACACTCTCAGGAAGCTGAGAGTCTCTGGAGTGCATCAGGTCAGCTAGGCTGGCCGGCCAATATGTTTCAGAGACCTGGCCTTCTGTACCTGGCCCACGCCACTGCCCAGCCTGCGCTGGGTGTCACGCTTACAACCTGAACTCAGGTCCTCATGCCTGCAAAGACACTTTAAGGGCTGAGGCAACACCCCAGCCCCCCACTCTCAGTCCTGACTGTGTCTGATAGTTTTGTGAGGTTGTAAATTCGTTAAAGCTGACAGAAAGTACACTTAATCTGGATGCGGTGTCCTATATATAAAATTATACCTCAATAACATCAATTTTCTTTTTTCCGTGATAATGGGCCAGAATGGCAGAAAATTACTGCTTCTGAAAGCAGATTCAGTTTGGGTCTAGTTTCCTCTATGACAACACCCAAAGAGCCTCCATCTGCATCAAGCTGATGACAATGGCCAGCGCTCTTGGGAGCAGGATGGGACAGATTGGCATAATGGCAGCCCTGCACTGCAGAGACAGGTTTTGTATGTTGGATGAACAATTACGCAGTGTGGCAAGAGAAGCCAGGGAGCCCTGAGGAGCTGGGGAGGTGGTGGGAATGTAACCAACGCTCCTCTCAGCCTGCATCACCTTGTGGTGAGGAGAACGGCCCCAGGAAGGGGTCAATGACTAAAGGCATCATCTACCTCCCACAAGAGCATGGTTCTGGAGAAGGAGCCCACACGTCAGGCTCGTTTGCTATTGTTTGGCCTGTAAGTGTCCCGTGAAGGCCCGTGTGTCTCCCAGGGTGGTACTACTGGTATGCAGTATTAATTATTAATATTTTACACATCGATGACAGAGCAACCTGAGAGAGAGAAGGGATTTTTTGTTATGTTTATTTTATTTGTTATTTATTTATTTGGTTTTTTCGAGGCAGGGTTTCTCTGTTGCAGCCTTGGCTGTCCTGGACTCGCTTTGTAGACCAGGCTGGCCTCAAACTCACAGAGATCTGCTGCCTCTGCCCCCGCCCCCAAGTGCTGGGATTAAAGGCGTGTACCACCACTGCCCAGCTAACTTTTTCTCTTGCCAGGCTGGCTCTTTCTCTCAGGTATTTTGTTATAGTGACAAAAAGCTGAATAGCATATTTTGGGGATTTTTGTTTGTTTTGTGGGGTTTCTTTGATTGGTTGGTTGGCTGTTTTCAGACAGTCGAACTCTGTAGCCCTGACTGGCATAGAACTCCCTGTGCAGGCCAGGCTGGTCTTTTAACCTGTGGTAATCTTCCTACTTCTGCTCCTGAATGCTGGGTTTATAGGCATGTTGTGTAACAGTTTCCTCCTAGATGGAAATAGTTTATCCTGCAGGGAAGTGCCTTAAACAGAAAGCTAAACAACTCAAAAGAGCTTCAGAAGTCCCCCAAAAAGACCTTCTCTGGGCTGGAGAGATGGCTCAGAAGTTAAGAGCACTGCCTCTTAAGTCAGAGGTCTTGAGTTCAAATCCCAGCAAACACATGGTGGCTTCCAAGCATCTATAAGGAGATCTGATGCCCTTGTGCCCTCTTCTGGCATGCAGGCACACATGCAGGCAGAACACTGTATATAATAAATAAATAAATCTTAAAAAAAAAGAAGAAAGGAAGGAAGGAAGAAAGAAAGGAAGGAAGGAAGGAAGGAAGGAAGGAAGGAAGGAAGGAAGGAAGGAGAAAGAAAGACCTGATCCATTAGGTCCCTCTCTGCAATAAAATCTGAGAGACCTCTCACAAGAGCAGAGACCGAGCTTCAGTCTGCAAAGAAGATTCTCGGATGAGCAAAGCTGCAATGAAGACTCCTGAGACCAGACCGACTTCCTGGGAGAAGCAGAGACCAGCTGAGCTCCTTGGAAGATGTTTAAACCCACAGAGGGACTTGGAGAGGACATGCCCCAGCCGTGGGCTGTGTACTGCTCCAGGCCCTGAGCTTTGTGCTCTGGTTTTTGGCGATACAGCTGTCTTTGAGGCATGCTGGCTCTTGTGAGCAACGCCTCACCCATATTCGTGCAAGTAACCCCAGAAAAACCCATTAGTGCACCAAGCTGGACTTTGGTAGTAGCCATACTTTGGTCTGTCATGGGTTCCCCATCTGGAGGGAGTAGTGCTGTGTCCTTCCAGGAAAAGTTTTGTCACACAACCTGTGTGCCGCCACCATAACTGGTTCCACCGCATTGTTTTACTTATTGTGTTATTTCAGATCTCTTTCCCACTTGCGGCGTTATATAGCTATAATCCTGGAAATCCAGCACTTGGGAGATTCTCACAGGCCCTGTTACCCTCCCCCTTGCACCACCGTTGGCAGCCCTCCTGGTGTGGCCTGACTATGCCCCTTAAAAGTCCACGTACTGAAACGTACTCGTCAGTTCTGTGTTATTGGTATGTGGAAAGGAGCTTTTGAGGTTAGAAGGTCAAGACAGTGGCACTCTCACAATGGCACCAATGCCTTGATAAACAGGGAGAGACAGCCAGGCTAGCACACATACTCTTTTGGCTAATGCAATGCCTTCTATTTTACGATTCAGTAAGGAGTCTCTCTCCTGATCCACCGTACATCCCAGCCTTTGGACTTACCAGCAAGATCACAAGTTCAAGGGCAGGCTAAGCTATGTAGTGAGTTCAAGGCCAGTCTAAATACTCTAGTGAGATCTTGTCTTAAAATTTAAAAAACATAAAGAGGAGGACTGGAAATGTAATTCAGTGATTGACAGCTTGCCTAGTGTGTATGTTGATGGGGATTTTCTGTAACCTGTGTTTTTCACCTATGCCCTTGTTCTCAGAAATAGCTACTCTTATCCTTAAACATATTTACAAAGCCTAGGCCAGTATAGCTATGCATGTTTCCTGACTTGCTCATAACTAATATCCCATTTATTCTATTCTGTTCTGCCATGTGGCTGGTTACCTTTGCTCAGGTTTCATGCATCTGTCTTCCTACATGTCCCAGGGTGAATTCCCTGAACCACTGTCTTTTTCCCAGAATCCTATCTCTCGGCTGGAACTCCTACATCCTTATTTCCTACCTCAGCTAACAGGCCATAAGCTTTTTATTGACAGGAGAATAATCCATACAGTACACAAGAGCCTATACCTACATGCATGAGGCCCTGGTTCAATCTCAGAAACACACACACACTCCACACAAGCACCCATTCACCTCACACACATAACCACCCACATGTTCTCACACATGTGCAGACCCATCTACACACACACACACACACACACACACACACACACACACACACACACAAATAGAACCCAAAACAGAACTAGAGAGATTGCTCTGAAGCTGAGTGCTTACTGCTCTATAAGAGGACCAGAATTCCATTTCTAGCCTGCATAACTCATGACCCAGAACTAGCTCCAGGGGATATGATGGCTTCTTGTGAAGGCATCTGCCCTTGTACATCACATAAACACACACACACACACACACACACAGAGAGAGAGAGAGAGAGAGAGAGAGAGAGAGAGAGACTTGAGGTTTTTGTTTGTTTTTCAAGACAGGATTTCTCTGTGTAGTCTTTGTTGTCATGGACTCACTTTGTAGACCAGTCTGGCCTCGAACTCACAGTGATTCACCTGCCTCTGCCTCCATGAATGCTGGGATTATAGATGTGTGCCACCATGTCCGGCTTGACTTAAGGTTTTTAATGAAAAATATTTTATTGAAAAGGGGTTTCTCTGTGTAGCCTTGCCTGTCTGAAACTCACTCTATAGATCAGGCTGGCCTCAAACTCAGAAATTCACCTGCCTCTGCCTCCCGAGTGCTAGATTAAAGGTATGAAAAATTTTAAATATCTTTATTATTATCATTATTCTTTTATGTGTATGTCTGGGCACCACTTGCATGCCCAGTGACTTCAGAGGCTGGAATTAGTGGTCAGATCTTCTGGAACTGAAATGCCAGGTCCTTGTGAGCTGCAATGTGGGCTTCAGGAACTAAATCTGGGCCAGTGCTCTTAAGCACTGAGCCTGTTCGCCAGCCTTGATTTAAAAGAGTTTGAATAGAAGGGTGCTTTATTTGTCACCAGATACCCTTGGGGGAGAGTTGGGTCACCTGCCTCACCTGGTACACAATACCACCTCATGAGCGGCACAGATAAGTGGTAAATCAGTTGATTCCAAGGCCAGGTGCCCTCCAGCCTGGTTAGGAGACAGTGCCCCTGGGGTTCAGCTGTTCTGTTGTCCTCCCGCCGCAAGGGGGAGTCAAGGCTCTGCAGCTGTGGAGCCTATATGAAGGCCGGCTAGGCAACCATCTCTATGGTCTCGCTCTCCAGGCCCCTCCTCCCCGACCCTCCTCAAGCCTCTATGGTTCTTCCTGTCATTAGTCGGGAGGGGGCGCTGCGCGCAGGCGCGAGCTGAACGCCGTGGCGAGGCCGGAAGGAACGCAGTGGCAGCCTCGGCGGCGGCGGCGGCGGCGGCGGCCGCAGTAACGGCGAGGAGGCTTATCAAACGGCTGCCTCAGGGGACTGGAGACAGAACTCCCGGCGCCGACTCGCGCTCGCGGAGCTGGGCCTGTGGCGTGACGAGTACGTGACGGAGGCACGCGCGCGGGCTCCCGCGGCCGCGGGTCGAGTGTGGAGAGTGGCCTCCCGCCGGGGCGCCGCCGGGGTGGGGGCGGGGGCCGAGGGGCCGCGCTCGCGCGCCCCGGGGTTCCGAGGCGGGGACCGCGCGGGGGGTGTCGGGAAGGGAGCGGCGCCCCGGACCGCTGGCCGGCGGCCCCCTCCCGCCACTTGAGGAAGTTTCTCGGGCCGCCGTGCTGCGCGGGGGAACGGGGCGGCGAGCCCGAGAGACGCTGGCGGGAGGCTCGCCTCGGTGGCCGCGCTCCCCGCCGCGGCCTGGGGGAGCGGAGGAGGCGGCGGACTGTTGACTTCGAACTCCCGCCGGGGCTCGTCTGGGCCCCCGGGGAGCCCCGGGTGGACGCCTGTCATCCCCGACGGCGCCCCGGAGCAGGGGGACACGCAGTTCGTGCAGTCCTGAGGCGGCGGTGGGAGAGAGAGAGAGAGAGAGAGAGCGCTCCTGAGGCGCGTGGCCCGCGGGGCGAGACTCAGGCTTGAGCGGACGAGGCGGCCCCATGGGGGGCTCATCGGGGATCCCAGACTCCTCGCCTGCCGAGAGGGTGCAATGACCGGGGACCGTCCCCTCCATTGTGTTGAGTGTCTCGGTAGCCATTTCCCGGCTGAGGTTTGTTTTGGTTTCTTTTTCTTTACCTTTTTAGAGGCTCACTGCGTAGCCGAGGCTAGCCTGGAACCTGAGAAGTAGACAAGGCTGTCCCCTGGAACTCATGGACATGCATGTGCCTCAGCCCCGGTGTAGGCCACCACGTCCCGTTTTGTTATTGTTATTGTTTTGATTATTATTTTAAGATAGGTTCTTGCTGTAGCCCTTGCAGTCCTGGAACTCAGACATCTGCTTGCCTTTGCCTCCTGAGTGTAGGGGTTAAATGCAGTCGTCCCCTTTCTTCTGGTCAACAGCTGCCCTACCCCTGACACACACACACACACACCTTGCTGGCTGTTTGTTTGGGTGAGATTAATGGATCTGTTGGGCTTCCTTTCAGAGCAAGGGTGAGGAATATATAGGAACCTGTGTGTCCCTTAAATATCTGCGTCAGGGTAAAGTTTCACCCCCCTCGTAGATAGTGACCTTATGGTATCTTTATTAGTTAGTTAGTTAGTTAGTTAGTTAGTTAGTTAGTTAGTTAGTTA